ACGAGTCGCAAGAAGTTAGAGGTTAGCAATGTCTCAAATGCCCAACTCTTCCATGATGCTATGTAGCTCCATTCTGTCCCCTACTCCTCCCTTGGGTACATTCCCTAGTGTTCTTGAGTTCTACAAATCATTGGATCACTGCAAGGTCCCACAGAAACTCGTGAAACCTTAAGGAAATGTCTCAGGTGGTGGTGGGTGCAGTTCAGTCCCCAAATCTGAAAGTCAGGCAGAGTGATCCAAGCGCAGGATCCAGAGCCAGAAGCCAAAAGTGTCCAAAAGGCACAGCAGGTGCCCTTGCTTCCACCAAAGCTCCGTCAGAAAATAGAAGTCTGGTTTTCCGGGCCAGGCAATGAATGTGTGGAATTGTATGGTGATATCACTACACCGCCAAGGAAAATGAAGAATGTGGTCTGGCCCACTCCTGGTTCTAAGGGAGAATCTTAAAAGTATCATCAAGGAAACAAAGCGCGTGGCCTGATTCACACCCTCTACTAAGAACTCTACACGTGGACCTCACCAGATGGAACACACAGAAATCAAATTGACTACATCTGTGGGAAGAGACTATGGAGAAGCTCAATATCAGCAGCTAGAATGAGGCCAAGGGCCAACTGTGGAACAGACCATCAATTACTCACAGGTAAGTTCAGGTTGAAGCTGAAGAAAATCCACAAAAGCCAAAATACAACTTTGAGTGCATCGCACCTGAATTGGGAGAACGTCTCAAGAACAGCTGTGATGCATTGAACACTGATGGCAGAAGACGTGGTGAGCTGTAGGAGGACCGTCAAGAACATCATTCATGAATGACGCAAAAGGTCCTTAAGAAGACAGCAAACAAGGAAACGATCAAGTGGCTCTCCGAAGATTCTGAAACTTGCTCTTGGTCATAGAATTGCTAATGGAAGAAATGATGACATCCAAGAACAACAGAAAATTTCAAAGGGCAGCTAGAGAAAAGAGAGTAAAGCATTCTAAGTAATGTGCCAAGACCTAGAATTAGAAAAACAAAAGGATAAAATACACTCAGTATATCTGAAACTGAAAGAAAGGAAAAAAAGCAAACTCAAGCCTCAAGTTACAATAGTGAAAGATTCCATTGGCAAAATGTTCCGGGAGAAGGACATGATGTTTGGTAAGGTGGAGGGGCAGCAAAAAAGAGGAAGACCCTCAACGAGATGGATTGATACAGAGGCTGCCTCAATGGGCTCGGGGATGGGAACAATTGTGAGGATGGCACAAGACCGTGCAGTGTTCCGTTCTATCGTGCATAGGGTCACCGTGAGTCGAAGTCTACTCGATGGCACTTAACAACCACGTTGGCGAATAATGAATGATGCAGGAAGCATCAAAAGAAGCTGGAAACGGGTTTGGGTCCGCAGCACGTACACTAAAGAAGATGGGAAGAACACACAGGGTCACTGTGCCAGAAAGAATTCGTCAACAGTCCACTGTTTCAGGAGGTGGCATCTGAGCAAGCGCCAGTGGTGCCGAAGGAAGAAGATGAAGCCACACTGGAAGCTGTAGACAAAAGTAAGGCTCCAGGAATTGATGAAATACCAATTGAAATGTTTCAACAGCTGATGAAGCCCTGGAAGCAAGCCCTCGTCTATGCCAGTGAAATTCAATATTCTATATACTTTTCTGAGCCTCTTTGGTAGTGTTTCTGAAAACTAAATTCCTGGCAGTGAAATTGTTCTCATGCTTGTTCATAGTTCTTGCTGTTGCTGTTGTTGTTGTTGCTGCTGCTGATTCTGCTGTTGTTGTTGCTGTTAGGTAGCATCAACTCACTCCCGACTTACAGTGACCCGATCGATGCATTGGTGAAAAAAACCATTGCTCAATTCTTCACCATCTTCACGTTGTTATTATATTTGAGCCCATTATTGCAGGCCCTGTGTCAGCCCATCTCATCAAGAAACTGCCAAACATAGCATCCTTCTCATCAAGAAACTGCCAAACATAGCGTCCTTTTCCAGGGACTGGTCTCTCCTATACCATTTGCAAAGGACTCAACACAAAGTCTCGCCATCATTCCTCCCCAGGTACATTCTGGCTGTACTTCTTTCAAGACAGATTTATTTGTTGCTTGGGCCATCCGTGGTACTTTAAATATTCTTCACCAGCATCATAATTTAAATGCTTCTTTGGCCTTTCCTATTGGTGGTTCAACTTTCACATTCACATGCATATGAGGCAGCTAAAAAGATCATGGTCAAATGCATCTTAGTGACATCTTTGCTCTTTCACACTTTAAAGAACTCTTCTGCTACAGATTTGCCCAATGCAATGTGTCCTTTGATTTCTTAACTGCTGCTTCCCTGAGCATTGACTGTGGATGTGCATCCAAGTAAAATGAAATCCTGACAACTCAAAGTCTCTCTGTATCATGATGTTCTGGTCCAGTTGTGAGGAGTTTTATTTTCTTCATATTATGTTGCAACTCATACTGAAGGATGGAGCTTGGTCTTCATCAGCAAGTACTTCAAATCCTCTTTGATATCAGCAAGCAAGGTGTGCCATCCTCATATCTCAGGTTGCTGGTTCATTTTCTTCCAATTCAAATGGCACATTCTTCCTCATATAAGCCAGCTTTTGGGATCATTTGCTCAGCATACAGATTGAATAACTGTGGCAAATGGACACGACCCAGACACACACTTTTCCTGATTTTAAATCGTGTAGTATCCCCTTGCTCTATTCCAACAATGGCCTCTTTGTGCACAGGTCACATGTGAGCACAATCACATGTTCTGGAATCTCCATTCCTCTCAAGAGTATCCATAGTTTGTTATACTCCACACAGTCAAACACCTCTGTATAGTCAACAAAACACAAGTAAATATTTTCCTGGTTTTCTCTGCTTTCAGCCAAGATCCGTCTGACATCAGCAATGATACCCCTTGTACTTTGTCCTCTTCTGAATCTGGCTTGAAATTCTAGCAGCTCCCTGTCAGTGTACTACTGTAAGACATTTTTAATTATCTTCAATACATTTTATTGTATATGATATTAATGATAGTATTCTATAATATCATTATAGAACAATGATATATAATGTCTGAGCATCCTGTAGAGTCCTCTTTCTTGAAATGGGTACAAACATGAATTTTTTCCAGTCCTCCCAGTCAAATCCCTTGTCTTCCAAGCTTATTGCCATAGACGGGTGAGTGTTTCCAGTGCTTCCTCAGCTTGCTGAAACATTTCAATTGATAGTCTGTCAATTCCTGGAGACTTGTTTTTGGCTAATGTCTTCCACGCAGCTTGGGTTTTTCCTTCAGTATCATTGGTCCTTGATCATATGCCAGCTCTTGAATAGTTGTAAGCCAACCCATTCTTTTCGATACAGTGACTCTGTGCAGTTCCAATCTTGTCCATAGACTCCTTCAAAATTGCAACGCAGGGGTTGGATTTTTTCCCCCCAATTCTTCTGACTTGAGACATGCCAAGCATGTTCTTCCTTTTGGGATTTCTAACTCCAGGACTTTGCACATTTTATCAGAATATTTACTTTGTCTTTCAAACCGCCCCTTTGAAAATGTCTGTTCAACTCTTTTCCTTCATAATTTCTTCCATTTCCTTTGGCTACTCTACAATGAAGAGCAAATTTCAGAGTCTTTTCAAATGTACATTTTGGTCTTCATGTACGACGTTCTTGATATCCTCCCACACCTCCTCGGGTCTTCTGTAATTAGTGTTTAATACAGCAAATCTGTTCTTCAGAAGTATTCTAAATCCAGGTGGGATATATCAAAAGTCATCTCGTGGCTCTCGTGGACTTGTTTTGATTTTCTTCAGCTTCAACCTGAACTTGCATATGAGTAATTGATAAGAGTCTGTTTCACTCTTCCCTTAGCTTTGTTTCAGCTGATGATCTTGAACTTCTCTAACATCTCCCCCCATGGGTGTAGTTGATTTGATTCCTGGTGAGTGTCACATGGGTAGCTGGCAATTATGTTGTTGAAAACAGTGTTTGCAATGACATCATTGGGCTTGCACAATTTTACCCAGCTTGGCTTCTAACACCAAGACAATACATATTTTCCAACTACCGTTCATTGCTCGTTTCCAACATTCACATTCCAATCACCCAGAATTAATCAATGTGCCTTGATTGTCTATATAACCCATTTCAGATTGAAAAAAAATGGTAGAATTCTTCCATTTCTTCATCACTGGCTTTACAGGTTGCTGAGTAAATTTGAATAAAAATTATATTAACTTTTTCCCCGTGTGTTCACAGAGATATTATCCTATCACAGACAGCGTTCTACTTCAAGATAGATCTTGAATTTTTTTTTATCATGAATGCAACACTATTTCTCTTGAATATATTATTCCCAACATACTAAACCACATGATTATCTGGTTCATAGTGGGTGATCCCACTCCGTTTCAGCTCACTGATGCCTAAGATATTGATCTCTATGCATTCCATTTCATTTTAGACAATTTGCAAAATTCCTACTTCATACTATCCATGTTCCAGTTGTTAATGAACAGTTGGAACTGTTTCTTCTCGTTTTGAGTTATCCCCCACTAGCAAAGGAAGGTCCCCAAAACTTAAACCCATCCACGTGGGTCAGGTCAGCTCACTCAGAGGATACCGTCCTCCTCACTCATGTTTTGAGTGTCTTCTAACGTGAAGGACTCGTCTTCCAGCACTAGATCTGACCGTGTTCGGCTGTTATTCATAAGGGTTTCTGCAACTAATTCCTCAGATGTGGGTGGCCTAGTCCTTCCTTGTGGTCTGTGCTTAGTCTGGAAGCTCTGCTGAAACCTGTTCACCCTGGGCAACCCTGCTGATATTTGACTTACCAGTGACGCTGCTTCCACTCTCACAGCAACGCAGGATGGCTAATGGTCAGAAGGGTGATGGGATTTAATACGTAGACGTTGCCAAATGGCTCTCTAGAGAGCTCTTCTGAATTCATGTTTTTACAAGGTCTGATGCCGCCCCTCTCCTCACTGTCATCAACACTGTATATTGATCTTTGCCCATGACACAGGTGAGGACCCTCCATGTTCAGTGTTCGGTGCGGGTGACGCTGTTCGTCATGGGTCCTAAAGATTGGATGGGTGAGAATGGGATGATGACAAACCCACTGGGTAACAAAGGTCAGGTAGGGTGGGAATTTGGAGTCAAAGACAAACAGAAGAGCCTGTGTGTTGGAAGGGAAGCAAAGAGAAGAGAGCAGCCTTCACAGGGAAATTCCATGCGGGAAGGAGTTCATTCCCCAGGGTCAGGTTTCTGAGGTTGATGAGATAAAGGCATGGAGATAAAGAGAAATGGAAACAAAGAACTGGAAGGAAAGTGAGATCGGAGCTAAGGGCATCCGCGCGGGGCATCCGGAAACCTGTGAGTGCGAAGGACACCTCTCAGAGAGGAAGGAGAGACAGTCAGCTCCAAAGTTCGGGAGACACAAGCCCTCAGTCTATACAAATGAAGCAGGTGAGTCAGCAAAAAGCGCCAGCAAGGAGAGGGTCAGGGGAGAGAGTCGAACTAGGAAACATTTGGTCCTGACTCCAGGTAGAGACTGATCAGTGGTATCGAGTGGAGCTGAGAAAGCTCAGGAATATAAAAGAGGGACCCAGATTTGTCCAGGAGGTGGTCAACAAATGCCGTAGAGGAATTTCAGAGGAATAAATGTAAAAAGTTTACATAACTGCATAATTTTAATAACTGCAAATCTTTCATTTAAGACTTCCTTTATTGAAAATAATGACTTACACCTATCTACAATGTAGTACATAGGACTGCAATCCTATAAAGAATGCACAGTAACTTTGTCCAGAGACAATATCTCTACACCTGTAGATAAAAACCCATTGTTGTCAAGCCCTTTCTGACTCAAAGTGACTCTATAGGTGAGAGTAGCTCTCTTCCATGGGGGTTTCCCAGGCTGTAAAGCTTTGTGTAAGCAAATTGCCTCATTTTTCCCCAGCAGAGCTACTGGTGGACTCAAACTGCTAACCTTTCCATTAGCAGCTGAGGACTTAACCACTGCACCACCAGGGTTCCTTTGAAGTGAATAAAATCTAACTGAATCATAAGGGTTAAATGAGAGGCCCACACCTCTTCTCTTGTAGATAAAAACCCATTGTTTTTATCATGGCTAGGTGTCATGGTTTTCTGTATTTCTCCCTCAGCATGCTTGGTGGTTCTGAACTGCTGACCTTGTGGATTGAAGCCCATCATGTGACGTAGTGGCTAAGCATTGGCCTGCTAACCTCAAGATCAGCAGTTCGAGGCCAAAAGTCACTCCTTGGAGAAAGATGAGGCTTTCTCCTCCCGTAAAAATTAGAGTCTCAGAAACTCACTTCTACCCTGTCCTCTGGGGTCCTTATGAGTCCCATTGGACTCGATGGCAGTGAGAGCCTAGCTCAGACACAAACATGTGGACCACCTCTTCTCTCTCTCTCTCTCTCTCTCCAGTCTTCCCACACCTGGTGAAGGAGCTGAATGCAGGCCTTCATGTGACGATCCTGCTGCTCCTCCTGCTGGCCTTGGCCCTGGCGCTGGTCAGCATGGGCTTTGCTATTCTCAACGTGATCCAGGTCCCGTACCGTGCAGTCAACGGCCCCGGAGGCATCTGCCTGTGGAATGTTCTTGCAGGTAAAAAAAGCAGCCAGGGACAGGAGCCCCTGTCCACACCATCCCCAGGCTGGCCTCCCAGGGGTCAGAGGGAGGGTGTACAGGAATTTAAATGGCCATCCCTCATTCACGGTCTCTGGCCTTTTCTCAATGGGCACAGAGTTCCCCTTGAGAAACAGTGAGGTATGGTCTATGACATTCGGAGAGGCCGCTCTGCAGAGACAGTAACTGGATAGGGCCGTGGCAGGGGACGATGGGAGGGAGCAGGACATGGAGAGAGAGCTAACAACAATGAATAGGAGAGGGAAAACGTTCTGAAATTGATTGTGGTGGTGATTACACAAATCTTCTTCATATGATTGAATGATTAAATTGTATGATACGTGAAGTCTATACCAATAAAAAAGTTTTTTTTAAGTTTCAGTCGGTCACAACAAAGAACCAAAGTGCTAGAACGTTTGTGACTTAGAGCAGTTAATGAGTTTACTAACGAGTGTATCAGAGCCCTGGTGGGTTAGTGGGTTACACATTGGTTTGCCAACTACAAGGTCAGCAGTTCAAAACCACTAGCGGCTCCATGAGAGAAAGATGAGGCCTTCTCCTACTGCCCAGAGTCTGAGAACCTCACCGGGACAGTTTACCCTGCCCTATGGGGTCCCTATGAGCCAGAGTTGCCTCGATGGTAGTGAAAGTGAAATGAGTGTGTCTTAGAGAAGCACAGCAGGAATGCTCCCCACCAACCAAGATGGCGAGAGACTTCGTTTCATGTACCATAAATACTCGAGTATAAGCCAACCCGAATATCAGCCAACCCAAATATCACCCGAATTCTACCACAAAAACTGCATTATAGATGTGCTGAAAAACTCAGCTTCTACACAAGCACATATGGTACTTTTGGCATGTTGTCAGGAGAGACCCTGGAGAAGGACACGGAGGATGTTGAGCAAGATTTTCAATGATGTCTTGGCACAGAGGTTGTATGAGTGGGCTCAAGCGTAGCCATGATCGTGAGTAGGGTGCAGAACCGGGCAATGTTTGTTGTCTGGTCTGTGAGGTCAAGGTCAACAAGAATCACTCAACGAGAGGCAGGGAAGTGGTTCCTGTTGTGCAGGTGCCTGTAACAAAGTGCCACACACTGGGTGGTCTAAAACATCGGACAGCGCAGTCCTCACAGTCCTGGGGGCTACAAGGCCAACAGCAAAGGGTCGGCAGGACCATGCTCCCTCAGAAGACTGCAGGGAAGGAAAGATCCTTGCTTGTAGCTGTGTCATACTGGCCTCTGCCTCCACCTGCAAATGACTCTCTTCTTTGGGTCTCCAAACCCCTTCTTCTGAGAAGGATGGCAGTGATTGGATGAGGGTCCACACTGTCTTTTCCAGACATCGTCACGGTCACAGATTCTGGGTGGACATGAATCCGCGGTTCAGAGCACCTTTACCCTTTCAGAGGAGTCCCAGAAAAGGGGCCTAAAGGGTTTGCATGCCCACTACTCACTGGTAACACAACATGGGTTTCACTAATTACTAAAATTAAAGCAGCCGAAATAGAAGAGAGAGAGAGAATAGCTGAACGTCCAAATTCTAAGCAGCGTTCCTCTCTCTTCGTTCCTTTCTCCCATCTGAAACCTGCTTTCTCTCTTCTAGCTTCTTCTTGGCCTCGATCCTCATCATTTGGGAGAGTCCCTGGGTGGTGGAAAGAGTTAAAGTGCTCAGCTGCTAATCCAAAATTTGGAGGTTCAAATCCACCCAGGCGTGCTTCCAAAGCAAAGAAAGCCTGGGAATCTACTCCCCCCACCCCCTGCCACCCCAACCACCCCCCCACACACAAAAAGGCATCCTTTGAAAAGCAAATGGTCTGCCCTGAGCACTACACTCCCACATGGATCAAAGGGAGCCCTGGTGTCATCGTGAGCTGCAGTTAGACTGCTAACTGCAAGGTCAGTGGTTCAAACCATCTGCTCCGAGGGAGAAAGATGAGGCTCTCTGTTCAAATACAGATTTGCAGCCTTGAAAATCATAGGGAACAATTCTGTTGTGCCCTATAGAGTCATTCAGCAGCAGTGAGTTTATATGGAATCCAATTGACAGCAGCAACTCGAAAGGTTCAATAGAAACTGCTGGAGGAGGCGACTTTATGTCAATAGGGGAGGAACTATTCAGAAAAGGAGGGCATCATTTTAGAGAATGTCACTGAATGGGATGTGTAGAAATTGCTGAATGGATGTGTGCTTGGCTGGCTATGTTCCTAACAGGGACAAGGATAGGTTCTAAAAGGGAAAAGAAAATTGTTCAGAGCACAGATCTACCCTGACACACAGAGGTGGGACATGGGGGTTACCAGAAGAGATCGACTGGGTGGCCACTGGTTACTGGTGACTAAACGTTTTAGGCTCAGGCAATGTTTGTACTGGGCCAGAGAAAGGCCACTCCCATACACTCGCCGTGACCACCACAAAAGAGCATTGTGAATGAAAGCACCGTTTTTGGGTTTCAGGTGGCGTCGTGGCGTTGGCCGTCAGCAGCTTCATGGCTGCCGTGAAACTCCATGACCTGACCACCCGGATCGCCAACTTCCAGGAGAAACTCTTCCAGTTCGTGGTAGTGGAGGAACAGTACGAAGAGTCCTTTTGGATCTGCGTGGCCAGCGCCTCTGCTCATGCAGCCAATCTGGTCGTGGTGGCCATTAGTCAGATCCCCCTCCCTGAGATTAAGACCAAAATAGAGGAGGCAACCGTCACCGCTGAGGACATCTTGTATTAACAGATGTGGAACAAAACTCAGAATCCTGGGAGGTCAGGCTTCCTGGTGGATTGAGACTGCCGGAACCCCCGAGACGGTGGCCCTTCCTCACCCTGTGGTCTGGTACTAACTTCACCCCCGGGGCTCATTTTCACCCAACAACAGACAGGTCTAGAACAGGAACACTTACACTATAGAGAGGTGTGCATATGTACCTCAGAACACTCAACAGTTGAAGATCAATAGGGGAGCATTTACCCAAGGATCAAGTTCAGAGGGTTAGGGCAGGAGGATAGAGACAGGAACCACAGGGGATTGCAGTGAGTGAGATGAAGCTAAATGGGTAAGAATTGCGCTGTGTAAAACGGATGATCTGTTCTGTCAACCTCCACCCAATGCACATAAAGGTAAACACGTAAAGCCTCCTCCTGCTCACCTTCTGTCTGTCAGCATTTTGTCTGTGCATACCGTTTCCTTTGTCTTTGCAGTCTCCATCCATGCTCTAGCGTTCCCAGCTGCCTGGTAGTTAGTAGGAGGAGGAAGGACAGAGCCTGGGCCCAGAAGAAGATCTTTCCCAGAGTCCCCTGCACTGAACACTCATCTGTGGTGGACGTGGTCCTCCTGGGTCCCGCCACGTTTCTCACCAGCTGTGTGTGCCATTGGTCCATTCGCTCTTTGTCCACTCATCTGAAAAAGGGGCATTAAAAAACAATCTCACCAGATGGCTCCAGGGCTTGAAGGAATACGAATGTGTCCAGTCTTTCTATCCTAGAGAGCCCTCCGTAAAGAAAAGCCATTGTCAATTCCCTCAAAGAGCCCTGGTGGGGCTGCCCAGTGAGCAAAGGACTGCTCACCGCAAGGTCAGTGGTTCAAACCCACCAGTCACTCCACAGGAGAAACGATGAGGCTGTCTACTCCTGTAAAGACAGCCTCAGAAACTCACAGGGCCCTTCTAGCCTATCCACAGGGATAACATGAGTCAGAATTGACTCTAAGGTAGTGATTTAAATGTCTCTGAGCCAGTAAGATATCAGGTAAAGAAGACGATGACAATTCCCCCAGGCTCCAGAAATACCCATTCTTTCAACATAACACAAGAACAAGAATGAGGTTAAGAATGATAAGTGTTATTTGCCAATATTTATTATTGAGTGACTAGGGAACCCTGGTAAGCTACTTCTTGGACTGCTAAATGCGAGATTAGCAGTTCAAAATCACCAGTCCCTCCACGGGGAAAAGAGGAAGCTTTCTACTCCCATAGTTCCAGTCTTGGAAACTACAGGGGCAGTTCTACCCTGTCCTATCGGATCATCACGAGTCAGACTTGACTCGGAATTTTTGTGTGTGATGGTCAACCCAAATGTCCGTGGTTTGAATCCACCAGCTGCTTCTCGAGATAAAGATGTGGCAGTCTGCTTTCATACAACAAAACCCTGTGGGGAAGTTCTACTCTGCCCTATAGGGACAGTACGACTTGGAGTTGACTGGATGGCTACAGATTGCAAGTAGTGCAATAGTTAAGCACTCGATGGCAAACCCAAAGGTTGGTGGTTCAAAGCCACCCAATAGTGTCTCTGAAGGCAAACCTTAGCAATCGACTCCTGTAAACATTATAAAACCCTGTGGGGAAGTTCTACTCTGTCACATGGGGAGGCTAAGAGTTAAATAGACTCCGTGACACCTCACAACAGTGAGTCATTGCTCTCTTAGCTACTGCAATGCAGTGAATTGTTTAATATGACTCTTCTACCTCTAGCTTTGTTACTCCCATGTGTTAGTCCAGATTGACTAGAGAAACAAATCCAGAGACACTCATATGTGTATAAGAGAGAGCTTTATATCAAGGAGCAATTGTATATTAAAAAACACATCCCAGCCCAGTCAAGATCAAGTCCATAAGCCTGGTATTAGCCCATATGCCCAATACCAGTCTATAAATTCCTCTTCAGACTCATGCAGCAAATGTAATGATGCCGAATGCAAGAAGTTCACAGGCTGGTGAGTGAAAAGTCTTGTGGATCCAGTGGCGGTATAAGCATCTCAGCACTGGAGCGGTTCTCCACGTGGCTCCTCCAGCTCAAGCAGGAAAGTGAAGCAGAGAGAAAGTGCGTGGCCCACCTCCAGGGAAAAAGAAAGGAAGTTCCCAGAATCCTCAAGAGAAGGCAATGCCCACAAGGAGGCATCATCAGGCTGTGACCTGAATGACAGGCTAGACTTCACCCCTGCACTTATCAAGTTGACATGAAATTATGTAACTACCACATCCCATAAAATGACTTTCCCTTTCCTGATAGGTCTAAGTAAGAAGATGTGGGAAGATCCTGATTGGATTTGCTAATTAGACTGTGAGTGGTGGTGAACAGGATTCATTGTGGGTACCATTGTCCTGGGTATAAAATGAACCTGCTCAGAAGCAGGAAGTGGGGATTTCACTACCAACAGGAAAGAAGAGCTAGGAGTGAGGCACAGCCTTGGGATTCCTAGGTCCCTGTGGTTTGAATCTCCTTGACCCAGGAAACAGCTTTGACACCTGAGGCGTGGCAGAGGAGGAGCAGCCACAGCAGAACAGAACAAGGAGCCAGAGCATGAGTGGTGGACAGCCCAGCACACAGAGCAAGTAAAACAGTGCTTTAGGGCAGGAGGTGGCCTTGTGGAGTGGAGGGCCTCTGAGCACTTCATGGAGGGAGCTAGGTTTGCTGACATAGAGCTGGTGGAGCTGGGGCCTTCAAGTTGAGGCTTATAGAGGAGTAGTATGCCCTTTGGACATGTATTGGCAGCACTGGGCTGCTAACCACAAAGCCAGCAGTTCAAAACCACCAGCCACTCCACAGGTGAAAGATGAGGACTTCAACTCCCATAAAGAGTCTCAGAAACTCACAGGGGCAGGTCTACCCTGACCTATAGGGTCGCTAAGAGTCAGAATTGACTTAATGGCAGTGAGGTAGAGTTTTGGGGTTTTATTTTTTAGGGGTTGTTTTGGTTATACCATTGCCTAAGTAAGCAGAGACTGAGGGCAGAAACAGGCGTGCCCAAGGGCATGGCAAAGAAGAACTGTCTTGACTGAACAACTGTATCCTGAGCATTTCTTACCTGAATTGTAACCTGCTAACTTCCTTAATAAACCCCATAATCATAAGCACTATCTGTAAGTTCTGTGTGACCATTGCAATGAATTTTAGAATCCAACATGAAAGTAGAGCTTTGAGAGAGAGGCAAAGCAACTACGTAGTGGTGGTTTGATGTCCCTCACTTGTGTATTTGTGTTAAAGAACAGAAATCTATTTTTCTTGCAATTCTAGAGGCTTTAAATCCCAGTCAGCGTCCTGGTAGTATTGATTTCTCCCGAGGCCTGGTGCTCCTTGGCTTGTGGCCTATCCTCACATAATGTCTGTCTTCCCACCATTTCCCATCCTATAGTGTTGTCCAAACTTTTACAACTCAGAAGTTATTGGATTTAGAACCCACTCTACTTGCGTCTGATCTCATCAACATAACGAATTTCCATTTCCAAACACAATTGCATCCACAGGTATAGTGGCCAGGATTCCAACACATTTTGTGGGTGAACCCACAGTAGTGCAACTATGTAGTGGAGACTGGCCTACAAGTTTGACAGAGATGAACTCCTAGGATACTCACTATAAACCTAAATGGAAGTGGAGGGTTTTAGGTGCCATTGAGTTGAATCTACTCATAGTCATTCTATGGGCAACAGAAGGAAACACAGCCCAGTCCTGTGTGATCCTCACAATCTTTCCTGTGTTCGAACCCATTGTTGCAGCCACTGTGTCAACCCATCTTGTTGAGCGTCTTCCTTTTTCCCCACTGACCCTCTGCTTCCTGAAGCATGGTGTCCTAGGACAAGGAACAATCCTTCCTGAGAGCATGTTCAAAGTACATCTCACCATCCTTGCTTCCAAGGAGCATTCCAGCTGTCCTTCTTCTAAGACATTTGTCCATTCTTCTGGAAGGGCCATGCTATCGGTCAAGGTTCTTCACCAATCCCATCATTCAAATGCATCATTCTTCTTTGGTATGCCTTTAGCATTGTCCTTGAGCTTGAGAGTGCATAGGAGGCTATTGAAAATACCTTGGGCCACATCCACCTGAGTTTCCAAATGATGCCTTTGCGCTTTCACTTTTATTAACTCCTTCGGCCCTTGCAATGAGCATGTCATTTTGTTGTTGCTAGGTGACAGAAGAGAACTGGCCCTGTAGATTTTATAGGTTGTAATCTTGATGGAAGCAGATCTCCAGGTTTCCCTCCCAAAGAGCTGCTGGAATGGGTTCGAATCCCCAACCTTTCCATTAGGATCAGAGCACTTCACCATCACACGTAAGTGGTACACGGTAGTGTATCCTGCTTTGTCTCCCACAGCACTCTACTTTTCAATTAGCTTCTTTGTTTTGTTTTTTTATTATTGTTAATGGTTTTTGCTCATTTATATTCAAGATGCATCACAGTTTGAAAGTATTAGATTAGTGAGTTCTCAAGGTGAGTTCAAGCATTCTTTTTTTAAAAGATCATTTTACTGGGGGCTCATACAACGCTTCTTACAATCCATACATACCTCTATTGTGTCAAGCACATTTGTACATTTGTGGCCATCATCATTCTCAAAACATTTTCTTTCTACTTGAACCCTTGGTATCAGCTTCTCATTTTTCCCCTCCCTCCCCCACCAATTAGGTTCTTATTCATTGCAATTCTTGTTCAACACAGAGTGCTCACAATTATGGGGTTTATTATGGAAGTTAGCAGTTACAATTCAGGTGGGAAATGTCGGAATATAATGGTTTAGTCAGGCCCATGTCTTCTCTGTCTCTCTAACCCTTAGCTTCTTGCTTGGGCCTCTGCCCTCTTTGGGCAATGTTACAAAGCTCTTTTAAGCATGCCCAAAGGGCATGCTGCCCGGCTACCAGTCTCACCCCAACGGCACGCAGCTCCAGCTCTGTGGGTCAGCAAACCCTGCTTCCAAATTCTGTGCCCAGAGGCCACCCCACTCCACAAGCCATTCTCCTGCCCCAAAGCACTACGCTGTCCTTGCTCTGTGGGCTGGGGAGTCCACCGCTCCGTCTCCTGCGCTGGTTCCCGGTTCTGTTGCTGCTTCTCTGCCACTCTTCAGAGGTCAACGCTGTCTTTGGGATAGAGGAGGCTTGCTGCACACGAATCCGAGGACACACTCCACTCCTGATAGTGCGATCTGCCCTCCACCCTCCTGTTGCTCAGAGGGTTCGTGGGATATCAAGCAGGATGGCGGCCACATGAGGCTTCTTCATAATTACCCACAGGTGGATCTTATCGCCGTCTTCCTCTACCTTCATACCAAGACCCACCGAGGAATGACTCGCATGGTGGGAGTTGCAGAGACCGTGGCCAAAAGAAGCAGATGAAATCATCCACTGCCTTAGGTGTCGCTTCGACGGTACCTCTA